GCATGTGCTCACCAGACAGACAGAGACAGAGAGACAAAAAGCGAGAAATCACCCAATTTCTCTTCCATTCTCCTCTCGGGATCTTAGGCACGCACACATACGCATCCGGCGTGAGTTTTAGCCATCGGGTCCAGGATGTGAATCACGGTCGACTACATGGGAGTCTACCAACATAGCCATTACACTAACTACTGGTCCCAAATGTTCTATATCTTAATATAAATACGAGGTACACAGGTGTATGTGTATTGTGAAAATAATGGTCTTCTCTGAGCATTGTATTTCAGGAAAATGTTAAAAAAAAAAGGGAATAGAAAACATAAATTATCTTGTACTTATTAAAGAACTTAAATTTGTTATAAAAAGCCTTTCCATGGGACCAGCAGGTGGCATAGTGGTTAAGATTCTGGACTCCTACACGGCTGACCACGGTTGGAGTCCCAGACCTGGTGGCTTGAAAATCATCCCAGGGAGGTGTGTGTGTGTGTGTACATGCATGTATGTGCTCAGAACCCAGGAGACACAATGTAGGAGAAAAGATTACAGCGAGGCCATTCCCCCTGGGATTGATCTCTCACTTTCCCTTTCACTGTCTCTCTGGCAAGCACACACACCCTATGACAAAAACCTTTAAAAAAAAATAGCCTTCCCTCAAATGAAACACTGGGCCAGGAAGATTTCATGAGTTTTTCCAAAAGCTAAGAAATATTACCAGTCTTTAAAAAATAATTAGAATAATAATAATGATGATCAGGAAAAACAGTGAAAAGATATTGAATAATGAAATGGGGATTTTAATGTCTCTGTATTGATGACATGCATGACATTCCCTTTGGAAAAAGAAATGTAATACACTGTAAAGTTATTTGCAATTCGATGTAATATAAACAAGATTAAGATGATAATACATAATTTTTTTTTAAATTCATGTGTACACACACAAAAAAAATAATGCTAGTCTTACATAAATTCTTGAGCTAATGTATGAGCATTGATTTGATAATAAAACCTGACAAGAGGGAACCGGCAGTTAGCATAATGGCTATGTCGCTGGACTCCCACGTAGTCGACCACGGTTCCCGTCCTGGACCCGGTGGCTTAAAACTCACGCCAGGCGCATGTGCGTGCGTGCCCAAGATCCTGAGAGGAGAATGGAGAAGGGATTGCAGCGTGACCATCCCCCCCTGGGGCATGATTTCTCGCTTTCTGTCTCTCTGTCTCTTTCTGTCTGTCTGGCGAGCGCACACACCCTATAGCGAAAACCTCTCAAAAACACAGAAACAAACAAAAAAAAAACCTAACAAGGAACTTTCAGGAAAAGAAAGTAATAAGGTAGTTTTAATTTTTAATATAGATGCAAAAATTTGTATCAAAATATGAACAGATTAAATCCAACAATTTGTGGGGGTTTTTTTAATGAGGTAAAATGTAACAACCAAGTTTGATTTATTCCTAGAATACAAAGCTAGTTTAACATTTAAAAATTGGACCACCTGATGGCATGGTGGTTAGGGCAACTAGATCCACATGGTTGACTGCATGGTTTAAGTCCTAGACCCAGAAGCTTCAGAAACTTGCCAGGTACGTGTGCATCCATACCCAAGGTCCTGAAAGGAGGGAGAAACGATGGAGAAGGGATTACAGCATGGCCATTCCCCATGGGGGTCTTCTCTTTCTCTCCTTCCCTCTCCTCTCCCCTCCATGAATGCTTGTAACCTCTGGCAAATTAAATTAATTACTTAAATAAAAATAAAAATGAATTATTAGTGAAAGAAAGATGGCAGAGGAGGAAGCATCAGTTCATCTTCCTGGGACTAGTAGATGGCGTAATGGTTACATCATTGAACTCTCCCATGTAGTCGACCACAGTTCAAGTCCCAGACCTGGTGGCTTGAAACTCACACTGGGTACATGTGCTTGCATGCCCAAAATCCCGAAAAGAGAATAGAAGAGAAGGAATTGCAGCATGGCCAACCTCCCTTTGGGGTGATTGCTACAACGGCATAGGGAGATTATTTGATGAAATACTGACCAAAAACTTCCCAAATTTGATGAAGGACATAAATACAAACATTCAAGAAGTTCAATAAGCTCCAAGCAGCATTAAACCAGAGACCCACACTGAGGCACGTTATAATCAGACTATCGGAAGATAAAGAGAGAATCTTGAAAGCAGCAAAAGAGAAGTAATATACAAGAAATTTCCCAGTTAGATTGTCAGCAGACTTCTCATCAGAAACTTTGGAGGCCAGAAGGCAGTGATTGTTAATCAGAAGTGAAGATAAAATTGGGACCAGCAGTTAGTGTAATGGCTATGTTGCTGCACTCCCATGTAGTCGACCGTGGCTCAAGTCCTGGACACAGTGGCTTAAACTCACACCAGGCGCGCGTGCGTGCATGCCCAAGATCCCGAGAGAATGGTGGAGAAGGGATTGCGGCGTGGCCACCCCCCTGCCCGGGGTGTGTGTGTGTGTGTGTGTGATTTCTCGCTTTCTGGCTGTCTCTCTGGGGGGCGCACACGCCCTATAGCAAAAACCTCTCCAAAAAAAAGAAGAAGTGAAGATAAAATTAAGATACTCTCAGATAAACAAAAGCAGAGGAAGTTTATTACCACTAGACCTATCCTTCAAAAAATGTTCAAAGGAGGGTTCCAGCAGGTGTCATGGTGGTTAAGGTGTTGGACTCCCACATGGCCCACTGCAATTCGAGTCCCAGACCTGGCAACTTGCTTTCTCACTTTCCCCTTCTCTCTCTCTTCTGTCTTTCTCTGATAAAATTGAAAATTAATAATAATGAATGAATAAAATTAAATAATACCTTTTAAAAATATTCAAGGGAAACCCATAAGGTGAGATCAAAATACCCTAGACTGTAACTATAAAAAATCAAAGCACTTATCATATTTAATGATGAAAAACTGAACGTATTCCCACTTAAGTTAGGGATAAATTCCCATATACCCATCATTCAGCTGCAGTAATAATTATGAACTTACAACCAATCTTGTTTAATCTATACGCCTACCTCCTTACCCCTCCACCCCACACTACTTTTAAACAAATCCCAGACATTATATACTTATCTGTATATGTCAGCATTTATTTTGGGTTTTTTAAACATTTTATTCTTTATTATTATTATTTTAATTTGACCAGAGAGAGAGAGTGAGAAAGCAAGCCACCACATCTGGGACTTGAACCACGGCTGACCACCTTAACCACCACACTACCTGCTTGCCCCACATCAGCACAGATTTGAAAGATTACACTCCTTTTTTTAAAAGTCACCACTGTGATTGTCATATTTTAAAATAACAATAATTCTTTTATGTCATCAGATAATTCAAATTTGCCTGATTGCTTTGTAAGTTTTGTCTTCAATTTGTCCAATTCCAAATGAGGTGTATTCATGCCAATTAATTAAATTTTTTAATCTGTAGATTCTCCTACGTTTCTTTTGTCCCCTCTCTCATTTATTTGTTGAAGAAACTAGATAATTTCATCTGCAGTTTTCTCCAGACTATATTTTTCCAGTTGCCTTCTCATGATTTTAATGTGTTCATGTGTTCCCTTTGTTTTCTACACATTGATAGGAAGGTTGATTTTATTATGAAATTTTAATGTATGTTTTCCATCAAAGTCAAACCTGTCATAAATCAATGCTCAGTTGGTTTTTTGCTTGTTTGGGTTTTTTGGGGTTTTTTACTGCAGAATATGTTGAAATCCTTGTATCATTCCAGATAGAAAGCAACATATTCAGTGACTGAGTCTAGTTTTTAATGACATTCATATTTTCAATAGAGCTCAACCTTTCATGATTTTTGTTTTACACATCTTCTTTCCATTATCATCTATTTCAAAAAGTATTATAATGTGGTTCTTACTGATGTTTTAATTTCATAGGGAAATGAATAAGCGTCTAACAGAAGAACAAGCAAGAAAAACATTTGAGAGAGCCATGAAACTGGAACAAGAGTTTACTGAACATTTCACAGGTTGGAACTGTGTGGCAATGCCCTTTATGATAGGAACCACATAAACTGACTCATTCAAATGGATTTTGAATTACACATAATTTCAACATAAACCCACAAGATCCTTGGGTTTGTCTTTTGGGAATTCATCTAGACTAAGCATTGTTGATAAGGAATCTTATCGTGTAATATTTCATTAGTGTTGATTAGAACAGCATCTAGAGCAGGGCCAGCAGGTGGCGTGGCAGTTTAAGGCACTGAACTCCCTCATGGCCAGCCATGGTTCAATTTCCAGACCTGGTGGCCTGCTTTCTCCTTTTCCCCTCCTTTCTTTCTCCCTCCCTCCCTCCCTCCCTCCCTCTCTCTCTCTCTCTCTCTCTCTCTCTCTCTCTCTCTCTCTCTCTTGTCCTCTCTGGTCAAATTAAAGTGGATGAATAATTAAAAAGTTACACAAAACATAGTTCTTTTTTTAAAAAAAAGAATGGCATGTATAGGAATAATTCATACTTGAGCAGGGAAAGGTATTGGGTCATGGGGAAAGTCATGACATATTTTTCTGTATTTCTGTGCAGAAATACATCATGACTTTTCCAACGACCCAATAGATTTAGTTTGGTTTCTTTTGTGAAGACTTTTCCTTTATTCTATATAAATTTTTTTTAAATTTTTATTGCAGTATAACTGACAAATTTATTTTCAAGGTATATGGGGTAATTTGATATATGTGTACATTGTAAACTGATTACCACAATCAAATTAATATACTTGTCAGCACTTAGAGTTAATATTTTATAGGGGGAGGGGAAGAATGAGATCTACTCTCCATCGGCTGTAGTCACCAGCTATAGCTTATTTGAACCACAACCAATCATGGTTCAAATACCAGCCCAAGCAGCTTAAAAAACATGCTGAGTGGGGACAGCAGGTGGCGTGGTGATGAAAGCACTGGATTTTACATGGTCGACTCTGCACTTTGAGTCTGGGACCTGGTGGCTTAAAAAACATGCCAAGCAGGACCAGCAAAGGGTGTAACGGTTATGTCGCCGGACTCCCAGGTAGTCAACCATGGTTCAAGTCCCAGACCCGGTGGCTTAAAATTCACACCAGGAGCATGTGCATGCATGCCCAAAATTCCAAGAGGAGAAGAGAGGAGAAGGGATTGTGGTATGGCCATCCCCCCTGGGGGTGATTTCTTGCTTTCTGTCTCTGGCGAGCACACACGCCCTATAGCAAAACCTCTCTTAAAAATAAAAATGCCAGGTGCATGTGTGCATGCCTGTCCAAAATCCCAAGAGGAGAATGGAGGAGAGGGGATTACAGCATGGCCTCCCCTTGGGGATGATTTCCCACTTTCCCTTTCTCTCACTTTGTCTCTCTCCTACAAGCATACATGCCCTATAGCAAACTAAAAATAACTTTTTAAATAAGTTTTGTTATACAAGTAAGAATATTAATGAAATAAACTATTTTTAGTAACCAAATAATACATAAATGCTGACTATTGAGTGGTGAAGATAGAATTCATGGAGACTTTGGTTCTGTCATTACAGCTATTGTACAAGGAGATACTCTGGAAGACATTTACAACCAAGTGAAACAGATCATAGAAGAACAGTCTGGTCCTTACATCTGGGTTCCAGCAAAAGAAAAGTTATGAAGACTGATGTTTCTCTTTTCTCTTTTCCGTAATCTCATTTTCATTGGCACGTCTATGCCCTTTCCTTCAGGAGTATGTCTGCAGTACTCCTTTCATCTTGAATCATATCCCATTCATCACGTCTGCACTGTGCTTATTTTTGACATCTAGTGTCTCCTTCAAGTTGCATCATCTGTCTTATTTTATGTCATTATTGGATTATGGCCATTTTTCAGAACTGAAGATGAAATGGCCTGACCAGCTATTAAGGGTTTGGGGAGATGTGGAAATTATGGTAAAATTCCTTAATGTTTAAGGGAAAGTAACTTTAAGATTTTCAGAAAAGCTTTATATACCTTCTTTTCAAATTTTATTACAAGTGGAAAAAAAGTGGTTTTAATCAGTGATTTAGTAGACTTTGAGCAACTATGCAAGCTTTAATAGCATGGTTTGGCCAGTGTATTAGTCTGTAAGTCCTTTTTTCAACTGACATCTGTTATCAAAGCAATTATTTTAGACAAATAAGGGAAATATATGTTTTTTTTTAATTTCAAAATTAATGTCTTAGTTAATTTTCATAATTTCACAACAAATAATTCATTTTTCTTAAGTGTTCTTCTCAAAGTCTTCTATCGTTTGAGGGTTTTTCCCCCCCAGTACATTTGCTAGGAATAACAGTGTCCAAATGTTTTTAATCTGTGTACACCACTATTTATAGTGTCTTACGTAGTCGTTCATACATAATGGTCATCACATTTTCTGAACTGAGGCCATGTTTAGGTGCTAGGGGAGCTCGCCTTTTACAGAAGATAGAGAAAATTTCATAGACATAAATAAAGATAAAACAGACAGTACAGTGAGATACAGTAATCATGGTACCAGAAAAGGAGTCCAATTCATAGCCTAAAACTTTAAATATATTCTTAGGGGTCAGATTTTAATGAATATTTTACCCACAAAAATTGCCTATTTTGTTATAATAAAATATATATATATAAATATATAAAAAAACTTTTCTTTAACTAAACTCTGAAATTATGGGAACAAATAATTCATTTTTCTTAAGTGTTCTTCTCAAAGTCTTCTATCGTTTGAGGGTTTTTCCCCCCCAGTACATTTGCTAGGAATAACAGTGTCCAAATGTTTTTAATCTGTGTACACCACTATTTATAGTGTCTTACGTAGTCGTTCATACATAATGGTCATCACATTTTCTGAACTGAGGCCATGTTTAGGTGCTAGGGGAGCTCGCCTTTTACAGAAGATAGAGAAAATTTCATAGACATAAATAAAGATAAAACAGACAGTACAGTGAGATACAGTAATCATGGTACCAGAAAAGGAGTCCAATTCATAGCCTAAAACTTTAAATATATTCTTAGGGGTCAGATTTTAATGAATATTTTACCCACAATAACTGCCTATTTTGTTATAATAAAATATATATATATAAATATATAAAAAAACTTTTCTTTAACTAAACTCTGTAACTATGGGAATTATTTTCTTTACATAGTTGCACACACGCGCGCATATATATATATATATATTTAAAATATATTTTTTTTTCTTTTGCCACCTACTCCTAACTTTTTGTTTGATTTTTAAATTAAATATTGATTGATTAGACTTACCCTCCTTAATCATGTGAACTGAAAACAGGGGTATGGTGGCTGTGAGGAGAAACCTTTAGGGAAATTAGATGACAAGGAAAAGTATAAGCATGTTCTCCTCTTTTCTACAGAAGTTTTCAAAGGGTTCCAGGCTTTTTGTCATTGTTCTTGTCACTGGATTTGATTCTGGTCCTCTGCCTTTCCTTCTAGTTCTCCTCCTTGCATTAATAGGAAAACAGGAAAAGCCCGTTCATGTGTGTGTTTTTCCCCAACCACCTCTCATCGTACACAGCAGCTCTGCGCTAGAGCTGCACAGGTCATCGTGGTGAGCAATTTTAAGACATTTTAGTGAAAGGTAGAAATGACTTCAGAAATCAGTTTCTCGGGTTCTTTATATTAACAATATTGTTTGACTTCCCATTGCTCTTTGGAGTTGTTTATTAAATATGTGTCTTTGGCAACCTCCTCATTATGGTTTCTTAAACAAATGAGTATTGGTTTGTAAAGAATTACCAACATTATCCATTCCACTTATGAGAAAGAGGAGAACAGCTAATAAACTTTATTGTTAAATCTATATGTTAAACGCGTCTTGAATTTTGAAAGAAAAAATTATTTTACATGCTAACATTTTCTTGGAACAATTTGGGTCATATAATCTAAACCGAATTCAAAAACCATTAGACAGCCTAATCAAAATTTCTTCTGGGGGTTTAGAACTGAGTACTTAAACATATTAAAATACACACACATGCACATACACACAACTCAGCTATTCCACTAAATATAGTAGGTCATTCCCAAACATAAACATACTAGAAAATTGTAAAAATCTCAAGAGCTCCAGAATTCCTATATAGTTCTTATAGCTGGACCCCAGCATAAGCCATTTTGAAATATATAACAAAAGTCACATTTATACAATATCATGTTTAAAATCTGTATTATTTCCTTTCTGATTATCCTTGTCTACTTTATTTTTTTGTCAGAAACAGTTTTTATGCAGCTTTCTAGATTGCATAGGGTTATGCAATAGCCACTTAGTATATGGTCACTTAATTGTTTAAAAAGAAAAAGTGTTACAGGCCCTCTGCAAGTCTTCAGTGAAGTCACTTACCCAAGATGACTTAGCTAACAAGTAGCAGTACTTGGTGTTTAGTCCAAGTCTGCCCTAAGTCTCCATTCTTTTATACTGCCTCATTCTTCAGTCCCTTGTTAAAACACTATGACTTAAGTTGTTAGTTAAACACTCCCTTACAAATAAGGGAAGAGACTTAGATGAAGATTCTTGTCCAGAGTGACACAATTAGGACAGATCCATCATACAGTTGACTCCTGTCTCAGCTAAGAAAACTGTCTCTGGGAAACAAGTCAGCCTAGCACTGTCACAGTGCAATACAAAGAAAGAACCTCTTTGGAACCAAAATTGCAACAGTATTCATGGGGGGGGGGGTCTACTTTTCTGATACACAGGGGATAATACACAATTTCAAGTGCTTTATAAAATATTCTGAGTTGGCCCAATGGCCTGGCAGTTAAGGAAGCCACATCTCACACAGCCAACTGCACAGTTCAAATCCCAGATCCAGTAGCTTGAAACAAACCAGGCATGGGACCAGCAGTTGGCGTAATGGCTATGTCGCTGGACTCCCATGTAGTCGACCACAGTTCGAATCCCAGACCTGGTGGCTTAAACTCGTGCCGGGTGCATGTGCGTGTGTGCCCAAGAGCCCTAGAAGAGAATGGAGGAGAAGGGATTGCAGCATGGCCATCCCCTTGGGGGAGTGATTTCTCGCTTTCTGTCTCTCTTTCTGGCGAGCACACAAACCCTATAACAAAAACCTCTCCAAAAAAAAGAAAAAGAAACCAGGCACGTATGCCCTAAATCCCATAGATACGGAGGGGAAGGGATCGTGACGTCACCACACCCACTAGAGGGTAACTTCTACCTCTCTCTTTATTCTCTCTTTTGCTTTCTCTTTTTTTTTTTTTTTTTCCTCTCTTCTAGTTCTTCTTTTGGGATTTAGGGCATGCGCACATGTCTGCTGTGGTTTTTTTGTTTGTTTTTTTTGTTTTGTTTTGGGGGGGAGAGGAAAATATCAGGGGACATTTATTGTACAATTTGATACAAAGATATTAAAAAATTGCATTCATTACATCAAACAAAGAAAGGACATTCCAGCACTGGAGATCCTCCAAGTTAGGTATGGCTCAGTTACAATAACAGATTTACAAGCTCCTTCTGCCCTTCCTCACACCCATGCAGGTGGATCTCTTGAAGTCGCTTCCAATTACTCTCCACACAACAGCTCTCCACCTCAGAGATTGTTTCGGGGAAGCTGTCTAATAAAAGTTTGAGGAAACATTACTGGAAAACATATTAGCTTAAGGAGAATCACAATCTTGAAAATTACATTTTAAAAATGTCAGAGAGGACATGGATCCTGAACTTCAGCTGTGAAATAGTGCTTTCAGAGATTTCAAATGAAGATTTTCTGCTGAGACTTCTTTGTCACTTATTTCTTTTTATTTTCCCCAATTTATTTATTTGCATTCATTCATTGTCCATCATTACAGCATACAAAATGAGATTTTCCATCCAGAGTACACTGTATATTGTCTCAATCAAGCACATCAACAAATATGTTATTATTAGCAAATGATCTTCCATTTCTTGTTTTCTTGCTTTCTCTCTTTTAAGTGCACATCCTCTCTAAAAAGAAAAAAAAAAAAAAGAAAAATTATATTCTTTTTTTTTTAATAATTATTTAACTTTAATTTGACAAGAGAGGGAAAGTGAGAAAGCAAGTCACTGGTGCCAGTATTTTCTATATTCTTGTTATCCTTAAATTGGTAAAGAGAAAAATTCTTTTTAAGTGTGACTACACATTTCTGGCTGCTTCTCTGTTCCATAACTGTCTAGAGCTCTTCAGTAAACAGTGGAAGTAAGCTTGCAGAACTCATCCCAGCAAAACACACTAGTTAACAAGTTACTGGAAAACTGCATAGTATTTGAACTCCAAGGATGGCAGTTTGAGAACTTTAATAATGAGGAAAATTTGTTTTCTGAAGTTTTAAACACTTACCTTCAAGAGGCCGCCCTTGAGTACTCTTAAATTTGCATGTGGTGATACAGAAGCCCAGAGATCCCATATCTTTTAACCAAAAAGTTAAACTGCCAATTTGGAACAAACCCAAGATTAGAAACTTGAATTCCTGGTTCCTAGAAAATGGTTTTTCTACCATGCCAGTTCCTTTCCCTCCTTTATGAGCTGAATTTGGTAGGTTATTCAATCCCTGGGAGTTCGAATTACTGTTTAAATACTGGTAAGTTCGTGGTATGTCATTGAAGAATTTGTGAACAGTACAAAAGGAAAACACAGGCATCAGCTTTTCTGACTCGAGTTCAGGTCGTCTGGTGTTAGCCTAAGGTTGAAGCTTCCGTGTACCACCCTCCAGAGGAGCACAGTGGACGGAGCCTCTGGCAGCAGGTACTATAACGTGAGGGACGCAGGATGTGGAATTAGAGCTGGCTTTGAATGCCAGGTCCGCCATTTACAAGTTCCTTATGTCACCATCCAACCCTGGACAAGTCAAGTCATCCCTCTTACTGTTTGCTGTAAAATGGAAATGTTTTGAGGATCAGTAAGATGCAAGTAAAGGGGGCTACCGTATGATACACTGTAAGAGTTATTTCCCTTTGGAAATCAATGCCTAGGATTATACCAGCTCCCTTTGTGTACATTAACCTTTAATTTTGCCATATTTTAAATTGGATTTGACTAACCACCTTGCAGGATCGTTGTAAGTATTAAATAAAGTCATGTAAAAAAAATGGGAAATACTATGTTGTCTGATACTTCACAATACCTAGTCTTCCCCTTGCTCTGAAATGTTTTTGACTTATGGTAGCAAAAGAGACCAATGTGACTCACATTCTTCGTCACTTACACAGAAATTTTCTTTGACAGATTTTAGGTAAATTATTAGGCCGTTCTCATTGCCTTTGGTTAAGGGAGAAGAGTTCCACGTGGTTGACCATAGTTCAAATCCTAATCCCAACCATTTATAAAAACACCAGGCGCATGTACAAAATCCGAACAGGATGGAGAAATGGAGACAGAGTTAAAATGCGACCACACCTCATTGGAGGCTGCTTTCTCTCTGTGTCTCCGGCATGTAGATTCACCCTCTAGCAACTAAAAAACATTTTTTAAATTATTTACATTTCAGTTCCTACAGTTCTGTTTGCTTATCAATTATTTTAAAGATCTCTATTTTG